GACAATCAAATCGGGTTGTAAGAAATTAAATAAAATAGAACCAGCTGATGAGCCAGACTTTTCTCAATGCACCAGTTAAAAAGTCACAAAAAAAGAGAAAAAAAAATAAATAAATAAATTTACAAGATAAATTTCATTGAATTTAATAAGTATACTACATACTAATTCCTTGTTTGAAGTTAAGCAAAAAGCTACACGATGGGCTATCTGTGCTCTGCCCACCACGGGTATCAAAACCAGGATTCTACCGTTGTAGGTCCACAGACATACCCCTGTGCCACTAGGGGGGGGCTTACACTTTGAAACGATGTTATGAAATCTTATGGAATCATATATTCATTTCGCTCTGAATCAATCAATAATTTATGTAATTAAACTCAACCTCGTCACCCGTATCTTAAGTTTCAACTTATAAAGATTAGAATTCCTTGTTTCATCAATTAAGAACCTTCGCTGTTAACAATTCACAATCCAGCACGATAACCTCTTGGCCATGCCCGGCCCCCTCATTGCTATGGAATTTTAGATTTATATCACCCTGAAGCAATGATATATGAGTTAATGTTCATTCCCCTCTACGGTTTTATGGAATTTAATATTTGTTAACCCTGAAACAATAGTATGGAAATTAGTAATTATTTCACTCCGAAACGTTGATTGATTGTTTTACACCCTTATTAACTAATGTGATATTTATTACTTTGTTTCACTCTGAAACACTTATGAGAGTTAGGGTTTCATTCGAAAACGCAAAAATATGTTATTTGCTTTGAATTATGGTCGTAACTTTTAGTTTTTTTATTTTTATAATTTATTTCTAAAATGTTTAGTACTATGAAACTCACTCAACTGAAATAATGTGGAGAAAAAAAGCTTGAGGAAGATATAACATACTGAAGATCTCGAGGACGTAAAATTATAATTTTGTAACAAACTTTAATTATAATTTCGAAATCCAATTTCGGAAAGTCAATTTGACAGTTTAGACCACATGTATTTATTTTTTGCAATCGAACCAATCATTCTTTTTATTATTCCTAGAGGATAGTCGTGAACAGTTAGGCTTAGCAAATAGACACCCCTGGGAACATAAATCCACCATCTTCTTGACGTTATACGCACAAAACCCCGATATATATATATCTAAAGATATTTTTTCAGCAACAGCCACAGAATATATAAACAGTCGTCTCACAATCAGAAGATTATCGAGAATTAAAAGTACTTTCACGAGGTCACACAGTTGGACGATAAGAGTGGTGGTCAAAGTCAGTGAGTAATCGCCAGGTCATTTCATTCCCGATATTACTTCCATTTATACTGAAAAACGTGACAATTCAATTCCTGGACAACATCACAGCCCCGAATCCCAAAAACCAAATGAACAGATTTTTCGTGCTGTGGGGAAAATAACTCATGAAACTGTTGCAAGAGGGGTTCAAATATACTCCAATACCATCAGAAATTACCTCCATAGCATGGATTGCAGAACCGTATTACATAGGCGGAGGTCGTACGTCGACAGCAATGAACATTACGGATGCTTTAACACCATTCCTTTCTTTCGAGACACACTGAGTTTTAGATGAATCCATTTTAGCACATTTTATAGGCAGTGGACACACTTACGCCTGTGGACTATTTTCTCAGGAATTCTCTATGAGCCATCTAAATGTTATGATAAAATACAACAATAATTATATTATAGTGCCATTTGGCCAACAGCTGTGGTGATATGGATGCTAATAAGTTTCGAGCAAGGTTTTCTAACTGTCTATGGCCAGCTGACCAGACAAGGCAGTGTGCTCATTCAGTTCATTCATTTATCAAATAATAACTCATGCTTCTTTGGCTAGGAAACTTGACTCGAATTTCAGTCGTGACTGTCAATCTCTCTTTTAATTGGTGAAGAGTAGTCCAAGAGTTGGCGGTGGATATTGATGACTAGCTGCCTATATTACTCTAAAACTAGTGCAGATAACCCTCAAGTATGTTTGAGCAAGAGCGTGGCATGGTCAGGTAGTTAGGGCGCTCGACTCGCAATCTGAGGGTCGCGGGTTCGAATCCCTGTCCGACCAAACATGCTCGCCTTTTCAACCGTGGGGGCGTTATAATGTGACGGTCAATCTCACTATTCGTTGGTAAAAGAGTAGCCCTAGATTTGGCGGTGTTGATGACTAGCTGCCTTCCCTGTAGTCTATCACTTCTAAATTAGAGACGGCTAGCGCAGATAGCCCTCGTGTAGCTTTGTGCGAAATTCAAATCAAACTTTGAGCAAAATAAAAAAAATAAACACATCAAAGAATTAAACAAACTTACATGCTTCTTCTTTTATTTAAGGAGAAATGACTTTATTTTTATTTTATTTTACCAAATTCCACGTTTTTAAAAGTGACTTTGTTTTACTTCCTTTGACATTACCATGATACCTATTTGCAAGTTAAAAGATATATCCCCCCCCCATATCTGATAAATTTCAGT